CCAAAACAAAACACAATAGCACTAGAGCATTTCTTTCTCACGCATGCATCTATTATTATGTTCTCTTCCACTTCAGCATACACCAGCAACGCTGACATGATTCAACCAGGCTTGACTCCACTGCAGCCCAACCTGGATGATTTCATGGATATACCAGGTACTTTCTACCCTTTCATATGTCTATCTGTTTATCTGTAAATGATGTACATGTGAAGAATTGATTAATGCATCCAATCACAGGTTGATTACAGTTAAATGCTCGCTGACGGTGCATGATATAGTGTAAAGAGTACATGAGTTTTTAAGATTAGATTCTTATCAGCCATATTTAGCTGATGATTATCTTAATCATATTTTTGTACTACATAAATTAAGTTTCTGTTCCAGATGTTGATGAGTGAAAAAACCTTGTGGGACACTCCTCTGATTTGTGCTATGTCAGCAGTATGTTGTTTGGCATTCATGAGTTAAAGGATTGTCAGAGGCAGGGTTGAACTGGGGAAAATGGGGAAGTGGAAGAGGATGTATTTAACCACTATTGCTACTTTTGGTACCACCTAGAAACTAGGGAAATAAATATTGATGGGCTGGAAGATGATGATGATGATTTTCTATTTTTTTTATAAAGTAAAATTATGTTGTTACCACAATTCCTATTGAGCTGTAGCTTTCAGGTCTGTGATTTCATTTAATTTTGATTGGATTTTATAAATTCATGGCGTAGGGAGCTAATATAACATAAATTGAGCTGAAATGAATGAAAGTTTCACTAATATTGATTAGATGGACCAACACATGGCTTCACACAAGTTTCACTCCTGCTTTGTATCATTTAGAGGTATAAATATGCAACTGTTAGCAAGCTTGCCGGCTTTAAAAGTGATAGCATAGCTTTTACAAATGGCTGAAAGTTAATTGACGCAGGGTAAAGTAAATGTCTTTGTAAAGCATGACTAAATGTGGAGAACCTAACTTACCAAGCTGACACGTACTGGACAAGAAGCCAATATGGCAGTATGCCTGGGGTCTGCTTTAGTCTTTATACTGTACAGTCAGCCTGCAGCGAAAGAGGAGCAAAGCTTCAAGCAAGAGGAAGGAACCAGGTTAGAGTTTAGTTTCTTGCTCAGGGCAACAATGGCTGTGATTTTTCTGGCCTTTGTATTACTTTCAGTGATGCAATCCTGCAGCCCCATGGCTACAAGTAAGTCTTTGTAACCAACAGACAACCTGTTGCCCACTGCTGTGTGTGTGTGTGTGTGTTTGTTCTTACTGCCCTGACAGGCTCCTGAAGTATCAGCTGTGTGGTGTCTTTGCTTTTTTTGTCACAGTGACCAGGCAGCTAGTATCTGTCAGCGCTCTTAATTAATTCATGATTTCTCTGTATTTCTCTTACATGGAAATACTGAGTTTTCTTTTTACTGAGATAAAAAAAGAGCTTTTGGTATGCATTACCTACTGTGAGATCATGAGGCATTCTGAACAATGTGTCTTGATGAAAGACGCTCAGTTCAGGAAAACTTAGGGTTACTGCCTGTTTGAGTGAAGACAGTTAATATTTGACTGCTCAAACCTTAAATAACATGTGAAAAAACTGGCAACCTGCCAGCATAGATTTAAAACTATGTGACCTGGCAAATAAAATGTAAATAGCCTTACTGATCATCTCATGCAGAGAGCTTCACATTGTGTGAGGGTTTAATTTTCCATTTCTGTTCTTTGTCTCTTTTACCTTAAAATAAAGACAGAAGAGACACTATACTGCAAAAAGTATTCAGTTGTCTGCCTTCACACGCAAATGAACTTGAGTGACATCCCATTTTGAATCCACAGGATTTAATATGAACTTCGCACACCCTTTGATATAACAGATATAACAGCTTCAGCTCTACTTGGAAGGCTTTCCACAAGGTTTAGGAGTGTTTATCTGAATTTTTGACCATTCTTCCAAAACTGCATTTATGAGGTCAGAAACTGATGACTGATGAGAAGGCCCAGCTTGCAGACTCCGCTCTTATTAATTTCAAAGGTGTTCTGTGAGATCAGCACTCTGTGTAGGCCAGTTAAGTTCCTATCACTGGAACTAAAAGGCCGAGCCCTACTCCTGAAGAGCAATGCCACACTATAATCCCCCCTCTATCAAACTTTACACAATGCAGTTAGACAAGTAGGGTTCTCCTGACTCTGCGGAAAGTTAGTGACCTCTGTTAACTATGTTCATCCACTGACACCGCATCCACTGACTCTGTGAGTTTACGTCGCCTACCACTTTGTAGCTGAGTTGCTGTCGTTCCCAATTGCTTCCACTTTGTTATAAGACCACTAACAGTTGATTTTGGTATATTTAGCAGTGAGGAAACTTTAAAACTCACTGCACAGGCAGCATCCTGTCACTAGAATTCACTGAGCTCCTGAGAGCGACCCATTCATTCACAAATGTTTGTAGAAGCAGTCTGCATGACTAGGTGTGTGATTTTTTTTTCTTTTTTTTCTTATATACACCTGTGGACATTAAAGTGACTGGAACACCTGAATTCAGTGATTTGAATGGTTGTGTGAATACTCATGGCTGTACAGTGTAAGTACTAGTGTTATATCATGTCTAGAAAATCTGCAAAAACTGGTTTTTATTGGAACGCTACACTGGTCACTGTATATACAATGTAACAGAAACTGCAGTACACAAAATACAAAATCCTTATTTGGTATAACCTCTGTTTCTTCAGTTGTCCACCAGAGAGCACTATCCTACTTTCCATGTATTATTTTACCATGAAGTAAAATATCTAAGGTGTGTGTGTGTGCGTTGTGTGTGTGTGTGTGTGTGTGTGTGTGTGTCGCTGGCAGGCCTTTAAAAGTAAGAAGAATATTTCTATCATTCATTAGACAGGAATGAGGGGTAGGATCGTTTAAGTTTCTACTTCCTACTTCCTTTTCAGCATAAAATTTGAGTTACTTATAAACAGTTGATTGATATATTGGTTATTTTGCTATGTTGAATGTCCATATATGTCACATGTACTTTATTTAATTAGATTATTCTTTTAAATGTTTTATCTTCCTGCTGTCTCAGTGCCTTTTCCAGCTGATATTCTGAATAACATACTATATATACTGTACTCTTTCTCAGATATCTTTATGAACAACCGTCCCCAGCCCACCGAGCACACTGGTTTTGCGGACTGTAGCTATTTTGAGAGTTCTTCTAGTGCAGCGTTTGCTCCAGTTCCCTCCCCTGTGGCAACAGCTCCCCAGCTTCTCATCGACACGCAGCTGGCTCAGGTACTGCTGCTGTTATCAGCTTCTTCTGTTTGTGTTTATTGTCTGCTTGGACAGAATTATTCAATTATTCCAGCATCTAATGTTATTCTTGTTTAATCAGTAAAACAGATTTATTTTTTTCCCAGCCCAATCTACTATCTGACAATCTGTCCCACCCCTCTATATCTAATACCCGGCCAAACCAGACCAGCTCTGGCCAGGATTGTGGAGAATACCACACATCCAACATCATAACAGAAGCCATGCCTTATGGACATCAGTCATACCAGGATGCACCAGTGTCTATAGCATTTAGCAGCAGCACTGAACAGACGCCCTCAAGTATTCCCTTTTTGTACCCACTGCCATGCCACAAGTTTGGTTACTATACGACAACCAGTGGAACCTCCACTGTCATCACTCACACAGCCTCCACCATGGGGGCTCAGGGTGGTGCGCAGCAGGCTCACGGATACCCTCACACAGGGGAAACGTACTCCCAGACTCCCTGCCACTCTCTGTCTTACCTGGCTGTTGTATCTGACCCGGTCCATGCAGCGCTGCCCTCTGTCACAGCAGCTCACTGCTTCTCAGTGCCAGAACAGGTGACATTTACGGGGGCCAAAGGGAAGCATAAGCAAAAGACAGGAGGGGCGAGGACAGCTGCCCCCCCTGTACTTCCATCCACTCCCCCACCCACTAGCTGTCTGGCTAAACTGCTCTCCACTGGGGCTCATGAACGTGAGTGAATTCTGACATGTTCTTCCTCATCTAACAGTTTTTTAAGTAAAACAAAAATAAAAAATGCAGTGGGCTTATGTTTAATTTTTGATTTGTGTTATCAGGAAAGCCAACCCTGGGATTTGATACTGCTCCAGTGACAGCCAAAGCTCAGAGGTCATCATCCTCTAGCTCCTCAGTGAGTGTGGAAAACTGGCTTAGCACAGCATGTCAACAAGAAATAACTAAGCACTCAGCATTGTATTACTGATATATGTATGTAAGTATGAGCAACTGAAGGAGTGCTGTGTGCTGGCAATAGACACAGGTGTCCTTAGTAAGCCGCACCTTAGTGTTAATGTTTTTGTAGAAGACTGCAGAAATTTTCAAAAGCTTACCTGATACATAGGTTACATCTAAAAGCTCACTCATCTAACCTAAACAAAAGAGGACATAGCAAGCGGTCTCTTTTCATTCAGCAAGCAGATTTATGTCCATTATAAGTTCCTAATCATTCATATATATATATATTTATATATATATATACATATATAGGCGTTGGTTCAAACCTCTGCTCTAAATACTCTGTGCCACATCCTTTCAGGGAAAAGTGATTTCATTTTTGTGAGACAGGTCTTCTAATTGGATACCATGTGTTGCTCAGCAGAGAAGCAGAGGAACGTATGTAGGTGGACCTTCATCACAGCTGCAGCACGGGGCCGGTTGGTCGGTAGGGATCCCCGTGTTGATGCCTCTGCAAAGCCAGAGTGCCACCCTGGGCCACGGTGGACCTCAAACTAGCACCTCCAGAGGCTCTGCTGTGTCTGCCCTGCTTACACACGGTACCTCAGACACTGGAACAACCCTCCTCGTTCCCAAGACTGAGAAGCTGTCACCTGTTCAGCTCTACAGCACTGACAGGAGCAGCTTAACTGGTAGGACCTCACTGCTTCAGGGAGTGATACAACCCCATTTATAAAAAAGTGGTACAGAAAGCAATGACTTGCAAATCTTAAAAACCCTTATTTGATTTACAGTAGAATGTGAAAAACATACCAGATTTTTAGCTGTCAACAGGTCAGCACGATTTGATAGCGTTTTTAAAAAATTTTTTTTTATCAAATGTGGGTTGTGCCCATGAAAAATGTGCCATTTTCTCTGCAAATGTCAAACAGCTTGTTCTGCTACTGACTCTTGTGTAGTGTCATTCATTAGAGTGGATAATTGAATTCTGAAGAAACAAACCATATCAGCAATTTAACAGTATATCCATTTAACAAACAGGGACCTTAGTAACATGTGGAAGAACCATGCCAGCCTGACACCTCTTCCTCATTCTGGTCACTAGCTTGGACACAGTGCTGTGGGATGGCATCACATTCTTCAGCCAGCATTTGTTGTAAGTCAGCCTGTGTGGTTATGTTGGCTGTCTATGACTTGTTCCTTCAGACTTCAATCATCCAATACAATGAACAATATGGCATTTTTAGAGAAGTACCGTAATTGTCGGCCTATAAGCCGCTACTTTTTGCACAAGCTTTGAACCCTGCAGCTTTTAGTCAGGTGCGGCTTTTCTATGGATTGTCCATGATTTTTGTCATATCGTAAGACGATTTGTTTTGTTTGTTCCGCTGTTGTACGGCACTACGTTGCCTGGTGGAAGGGCATGTGATCAGACACACAGTATCGGGGTTCAAGAGTGGTATGTTGGTCACATGTCCATCCGCCAGGCAACATAGTGCCATACAAGTAGCGCGAAAAACAAACTTCAAAGTAGCGCTTGGCGTTCAGCGGGAGGTGTGGATGACGAGCGGCGATAAACTGGCGAAAAGCAAGTTATGCTCAACTCCACTGGTGGAATCTGACAGCGTGGAAGTGTGAAAACATCCATGATCACCAACGGATTTCGAAGGCCTGGACTGCTGCATGATGGAGAGGAGGACACCGCCACAGCCCTTCTGAGGGTGTTCGACTCTGACAACGAGGATTTGTTTGGTTTTGAAAGTGACAACGAAGGAAAGGAGCTGAGAGTGGATGACGTAACCATCCTGAGCCTGTTCGTATCTGACACTGGAGAAGAGGACTTTGGTGGTTTTAGTGCGCAGGAAGATGGTGGTGAATGACTGACCTTTCTTCTTGTTAAAGCCGTGTCACTGCACCTGAGCCTAAAAGGTAGTCCGAATCTATTTTTCTGGTGTGCTGTAGGTTATTGTTATGTACTACATTTGTTACTCATTTATGAAGCACAGTACATGTTTTGTACTTGTAATTACCGCTACTTGTACCTTGTAACCTAAAAAGTTATGCAAATATGTACCCATAACTTCTTTTTCAAAATATTAATAAAAGGGGGTGTGTCTCCAAACAGCCATCTCTTTCCTGACAATTCCCTTTGTGCATATTCTCTTACATATGATAAGTCAACATTGAAACACCTGCGGCTTTTAGTCAGGTGCGGCTAATGTATGTATTTAACAGGATTTTCCCCTGATTTAAGCTTGTGCAGCTAATATTCAGGTGCGCTTTGTAGTCCGGGAAATACGGTAAAGTTTTTCATCGGTGCAACCCACTCAACCCACAAATGCATTTTCCTTGGAAATGTGGCTTTCCAGCAGTATAAAATTTATTGACAGCAAGCATTATTACAACAAAGAAATAATCAACTAAGCACAAATTTAAGATTCCTACATTTTTTGGTTTTGTTTTAAAGAGAAAGGCAGCAATTCACCAATCAACAAAAAAAACTCTCTTTAAATTACACAGCAGTGGAGAGTAGACTTTATCAAAGTAGATGTCTTTCTGAAAGCGCTGTAACTAAGTTTAAGAATATAATCCACCCACTGTTATCATCTTCAATGCCCTGTACCAACATAGAGCAGAGCAGCTATCTGAATACTACTCCAACAGAGGTCGATTATCTTGTTAATAATTTTACCTCCTCACTACGTACAAATCTGGATACTGTAGCTCCGGTGAAAACTAAGGTCTCTAATCAGAAGTACCTGACTCCGTGGTATAATTCTCAAACACGTAGCCTAAAGCAGATGACTCGTAAGCTGGAGAGGAAATGGCGTGTCACAAATTTAGAGGATCATCATTTAGCCTGGAGAAATAGTTGCTTTATAGAAAGCCCTCCGCAAAGCCAGAACATCTTACTATTCGTCACTGATTGAAGAAAATAAAAACAACCCCAGGTTTCTCTTCAGCACTGTAGCCAGGCTGACAAAAAGTCAGAGTTCTTATGAGCCAACCATCCCTTTAACGTTAACTAGTAATGACTTCATGAACTTCTTCACAAATAAAATTTTAATCATTAGAGAAAAAATTACCAATAATTATCCCACAGATGTAATATTATCTACAGCTACTCTTAGTACCATTGATGTTAAGTTAGACTCTTTTTCTCCAATTGATCTTTCTGAGTTAACTTCAATAGTTACTTCCTCCAAACCATCAATGTGTCTTTTAGACCCCATTCCTACAAAACTGCTCAAAGAAGTCCTGCCATT